AGAGAGAGAGAGAGAGAGAGAGAGATACTCCCCTAAGGATACTCTTTAGAAAGATGGTGTTCCCCCAGGAAGGACATCTCTCTTCAGATAAGATGAAGCTGATCTGCCTACCAAGTGCAATAGCAGCTCCCTTCAGAAAGTGTCAGAGTTAGATACAGGTCTCTGGCCCCAGGAAAGAAGGGAAATGGTAAACAGTAAGGTAAAGAATTAGATAGGTCATGTATATGGGGGGGTGCCGCTATCTCTAAGGATGTCACCAGGTTTTGAGTAAAGGCTGTGGAGTTGTTGTTCATCCTTCATTTTTGAAGAGGACCAGGTTGTAAGAAGTGTTAGTGCCTCTACAGCCAGAGGACATGCTGGAGAGCCCAGAACAATGCTGGCTAGACAATTAGTCTAAAAGGCAGTCAGACCCTACCCATTATGGGTATTTCTTGCCCATAATCCTTACCTCTTCCAGTTCTATTGAATTTGAATCCTAGGATATAAGCCCCCTAGATCCACAGATCCACCCAGACTTCTTAGTCAGGAGAGAGCCAATGCCAACAGCAGAAGGTAAGAATGCCAGTCCTTTATGAAAAAAGTCCTGATCCATAGACAATGCCCACTCAGGACTCAGAGCCCCTTGGAAATGCCAGATTAAGGGAGGTATAATGCTGTGTCAAGGATTTCAGAGCCATAATGAAGTACAGTGTACCAGTGGGGTGGGGGACTAGTCCTAGATAGAAGAGCCTTTCGTAATAGTAATTTCTTCTGAACTTTCTTCAGTCACTAAAGTGAAAGCTCTTTCAGCTACACCAAAATGTGAGACTGAAGAGGGATTAAGTGAGAAGGTGAGAGAGCAGTGTTCAGAAATAAAGTCCTGACACCAGGGAACATACACTCAGGAATACCTAGGCATGGTTTAAAAACCCTGCCTAGAGACAACTTGATCTTGGTTTGCCAGGTAGCATGCATGGACCAAGGGAAGGCCTGAGCATAGAGACTCACCAGAGAGCAATCTGTGTATAACCTGAGGACAGATTCTGGGAACTAGGAAAGGGAATCCAAAAAAAGAAACAGTGCAGCGAACCCCACCCCACCCTTACCTGCCTCAACCAGGCATTGCTTTCTTGGAGCAGGGCACCTACCCTCCATCCCCACCCCCTCTCTCTCTGGCTATGTTAACTACTACCTCATGTTACCAATGGATTCCAGAATGCAGAGGAGAACTCCCGGATCTCCATCACCTTCTTCCGTCTCTTCCGGGTCATGCGTCTTGTCAAGTTGCTGAGCCGTGGGGAGGGCATCCGGACCCTGCTCTGGACTTTCATCAAATCTTTTCAGGTATTCCCACTCTTTCTCTTCTTCTAGCAAAAGCTTAAGAACAACTTTACCCTCCTAAGGAAAGATTTTCTTACCTGATTGAGGACAGATGTTGTAAGATATTTCATTGAAATTTTCTTTCCCCTAAATAAAGCATACTTTGCATATTTGAAATGTCTGTTAAGTAGTTGTCATCTTCCTCTTCAGAGACGAATGTATTTCAGCATATGTACTTATTCATTCAATTAATTAAATGGTCCCAAGGAAGAGAGAGGAGTTCTGATATCATCCTAATAGAGAAGGATGAACACCATTTGACCTAGTAGGTATAGGATTGCTTGGGTTCTTCAACTAAAGTACGGCAAGGTAATTCTTCTTTTAATTACCTGCCATAATTTCTCCCATTTACAAAAAGGGGGAGAATATTTATAAAAAGAGGATGTGGCTATAAATGAGGTTATAAATATGAAGGTTAAAAAAAACAGGGGGCAGCTAGGTGGTGCAGTGGATAAAGTACCGGCCCTGAAGTCAGGAGGACCTGAGTTCAAACCTGGCCTCAGACCAAATACTTGACACTCACTAGCTGTGTGACCCTGGGCAAGTCACTTAACCCCATTGCCTAGCAAAAAACAAAAACAAAAAACAACCCCACCATCCTTCTGTTAAGTATTTTGAATTTCTTGAACATATGTGGTATAGAAACCCCAACTATAGTTGTCTGGCCTCCATCTGCAGAGAAGCCCTGACAATGTAGCAGAGGGTGGCAAGACTTTTATCCTAGACCTTCAGCACCACTCTCAGGCATCTCAAATCAAGGAAACTCAACAACACTGAAATATGGCCTTCTTTGTCCCCAGAACTGGACTCTACCATTGGAGAAAAGGTGGTGGGATCTACAATCTGTTTCTAACCCTGAGCAAAAATCATCACAGTAGAAAGAAATATCTGTTTGGCCCTCAGACACCTGCCTTCACCCAGAGTCAAAGCTAAGAGACATAAGCCAGCACTGGACCAAAGTTGTGACCCCAAATTCTAAAACCTGATTTTTAAAAATTATTTAGGTTTTTTCATTGTTAATCATTTGTTTTAACCTTGTAACAAATATGCATAGTCAAAACAACATCCTCCTAACAAATATACATAATATAAGGTCTTAAAATCATCATCAGATACAAATATCAGAGACCCGATGGGTGCTAGCTACTTCTGGCTAGCTTTACTCTTTAGTATTAGCTACTCCAGGCTCCAGGTTTGATAAAGCAGTATCCTTTCACCCCCATCAGACAGTCCCTTTGCTGGGAGTGAGAAACAAGTGTCTCTCAGATGTCAAGGCTTGGGACCAGAGGACAGAGAAAGAGTATGTTTCCATTGTTTTCTAGCTGATGCTAGTTTCAGTACCTCAGATAGTGTAATTATGGAATGTTAGCCACTCAGCATATTTGTTAAATGACCTCTATGGTCTCTTATAGCTCCCAGTCTATGGCCCTATGATGTCCAGAGAAATTAAATACATTTCATGAAAGTCACAGAGGTCTAAGCCAACTAGAACAAAGGCTAAAGGCTGAGTGTGTCCTCTGGGCTCAATGCTGAGCTGTGGGACCTGAAGACCCAGCATCTCTGGGTAGAGTTAGTGGACAAAACCCAACCTGGGGTGAATTGAAAAGGTGCTTCCTCCAGGTAAAGGGGGAGGGGCCGGACTTGGAGATTGGGCCTGGAGCTTACTCAGTGTGGATCTGCAGTGACATCTAGTGGTTGTGAGAACTGATAGCTAACGCTTTCAGAGAAAGTGTTTTTGTTTTGTGCTGGCTTTTCTCCAGCACAAGGCACATTACTTGTTTTCTGTCTTCCAGAGAAGACACCGAGGCCTGCAGAGATCCAGTTACAGACTACCCAGCAAGCAATTAAAAACAAGCTGGGGTTTAGAATCCCACTAGCTCATCTCTTAGGGTTCTCAGAATTAAAAAAGACTCCAGATGATATCTAGTCCAACCCACCCTGCCGAGATCCACCTCTTTGACTTCCCTCCCTAGAGGTCTACCAGGTCCTCGTCACCATAGGTGGTACCTTGTACCACAGGGCTACGTCAGGAGGTGCCCCAGATCCTTGGTCTGATGGACGGAATCCTGGACCACATCTTGCATCCAGCATTGGCTGCCTGTGCAGAATGCATCTCCCTGGGAGTAGGGCAGGATGCAGTGGGCCAGTTTTCTCATGAAAGGCTGCAGTACAGCAGTCTTATTCATTTTCTTCCAGGCTCTACCCTATGTGGCTCTTCTGATAGTGATGCTTTTCTTCATCTATGCTGTCATTGGAATGCAGGTAGGAGATATGTCAAGAATTCACACGCCTCTGGTTCTGTCCCCACACACGGACCCCTCTCTCCCTCCCTTTCCTTCTTTCTCTCTTCATTTAATTCCCTCTCTACCTCTCCTGCCTCTCTATTCTTCCTCCTCCTCTCTGTCCTCCCCTCTCCGGTTCTTTTCCCCTTGGAGTCCAAAATAGACTTCTCCATGCCAGATCTAATCACTGTTTTCAGCATGGGTGGGTGATGAAACAGACACAAATAAATTCCACAAATGTTTAGTAAGTATGTACTATGTGTAGACAAACCTTAGATACGATGAGACCCCTGAGCCACTTTTCTTGTGATTCCAAAACTTTTTTCTGCTATTATCAGTGAGAATCATTGCCAAATTCTGTGACAGACCCTTCTGAGGGGCTGCATCCACAAGGATGTGTTAAAAAGGCTCATATCCTTTTGCTAATCAGTGCCTGAAATTCACTAAGTGCCTGTGGATGGCACTGTGAGAACCAATAGGGATATCCTGGGGCTTACATTCTACTTCAGACATGAAAGATACAACTCATTAAAAGATAAACAAACACAAAGCAATTTGAAAAGGAAGAGCCTACTAAGAAATAGTTTGGGGTTAGGAAGAGATAAGGAGAATTTCTAGAACCTGAGCTGACCCTTGAAGGAAACTAAGGCTTCTAAGAAATGAAGGAGATGGGGCAATGCATTCCAGGAATAGGGGTGTGATTATGTAAGTACACAAAAATGATAGAAATTTGGAGAATGACTAGTATTTCAGCTTGGCTGGAACACAGAGCATGTGAGAGGTCATAACATAAAATCAGTTAGTAAAGGTAGATTAAAGCCAAATTGTGGAAGGCTTTAAATAGCAGGCCAAGTAATTCGTATTTTATGCTGGAGGAAATAGGACCCCACCAAAACTTTTTGAGCAGGGAGTGGACATGGTAAAACCTGTGCTTTAGAAAGATTATTTTGGCAGCTCTGTAAGAGAACAAATAGAAGAGAAAAGACCAGAAACAGAAAGGTTGCCCAAGAGAGAGAGGAAGAGAAAGAAGGCCTGAATAAAAATAGTGATTATGTGAATGGAGAGCAAACAGATGTGAGAGGTATTGTGGATAGTCAATAAAATAGTCAATGGATTGGATATAGAGAAGAGATAAAAATGTCTCTCAAGTTGTAAACCTGGATAACTAGAAAGACAACAGTGGCCTGGATTTAAAAGGGAAGATAATGATTTCTCCTTGGACATGTAGAAACTTCCCCCAATTCTGCATCCACAGTGTGACCTCTACAACCTTATCAAACTAAGACGAACTAAGAGAAGCCGGACAATCCTCTCCCAACATAAAGAAAGAGATGTCTGTCCTAGTGAAATGGCAAAAAAAAAAAAAAAAAAAAAAAAAAACCATTACAGCAGCAACCTAAAGACTCAACACTGCTGTCTTCAAGTCAATGGGGTGGCCTTTTCTTCCACACACCAAAGCTTCAACTTGGACAAAGTTGGGTGGTATTTGTTTTGCACAAAAAAGGGTTGTTATCTGGAACTAGAGCTTGGAGAGTTTGGGGGCCTCTTCCCTAAAGGGAAATTGAAGAACCACGCCAGGCCCAGCCCAGAGCGCTGACTTGTAGCATGCTGTGAGTAAATCCAACAGATTCCTCTGGTCTCTAATCTCAAAGATGCTCAAAGAAGAAAATAGTTCCTTCTCACAGCCTTCATGGACCCCATAAATGCTGGCTGTTTCAGGGATTTGAATCAATTCAACAAACAAATGCTTACTATGTGCAAAGCACTACGTTAAAACCTAGAATATAAAAATGAAATGTTAAGTACAGCTAGAAAACTCAAAAGTGAATCACTAAAAGATAAGTCAAACTTGCCCAAACCTTGGGTCCCTATTAAACCTTTCCACATTTTCAAAATTTCAGGTAATTCCATGTTTCAAGAACTAAAATTGAAAGATGTTTGTTAGGCAGGAGACATGAGGACCAGTCTTTCTGTCCAGACCTATGGGCAGGCCAATTAGGGCTTTGTCCCAGGATGCTGAATTTTAAAAGCACTGACTATGGTTGGAGTCAATGAACATTAAGTGAATACTACATACAAGCCTACTAAGTGCTGGGGAGACAAAGACAAAAATCACAGTCCCTGACCTCCAAGGGTTGACATTCTGTGGGGGCAGTAGTACTTGTAGTCCTGCAGCAGGTTGAAATAGCTGAGCTTAGCACCTTAGTTAGCAAGAATAATTAAAATAGGAAAATAATAGGTTTTTTGGTGGTGTTTGTCCCAAGCGTAGAATTGCTAATTATAGTTCTGATTCTGATGCTGCCTAACAGCAGAACATTTTAGGCACAGAAGTCAAGTCAGGATTTTTCAGAGGTCAATTAGGCACTTAGATGTCAGGGTGGGAGGAAATAATTAGGTGAGGGAAATTGGGGATAAAGGTTAGATAGAATAGTTGTGGCTTGTTATCCCTGAAAATGTTGCTTGGTAGTCTAGGTATCATGGGAATTTGTCTAGACTGTCAGTATGAAAATCATTACACTCTAAGATCACTTTTGACAAGCCCGGATTGTAGATGGGAACTGGGGGGCTAACCAACCCTGTCACAGACTCCTTCCCTCTGCTAGGTGTTTGGCAAAATTGCCCTGAATGATACCACGGAAATCAATCGGAACAACAACTTTCAGACCTTCCCTCAAGCTGTGCTACTTCTCTTCAGGTGAGTAACTCAGCAATGCAGCTATAAATATTTTAAAACCACCAGGTAGCATTGGAGAATAAGGCAGGTTTAGATGTGAATCACACCCCACCAGAACAATGATCTTCATATATGGGGAAATTCATTCCCTCGTGCATTCCTATGGCTACAGCTTCCCTAGAAAATCCAAAAATCCATTAAACTCATCTGTATTAAGTATGTAGCTCCAAACCCCAGGTTCAGCCCTTCTCCCCCCCATAACTGAACCAAAATCTCTAAATCAGGGAATTTCTCCTCCCTCATATACAGTAAGTCTTGAGTAAAAATACAAAAGACTGTTTGGGTTTATATTGACCAACAGTTTAATCACATTTAAAGGCTTAGAAGTAAACGTGCATATTAAGAATAAAGGCTAATGCTTCATAAGCTCAGGGGGAAGCAGGAAGTTTAGAGTGGATAATTCATAATACAATTATGCCTCTCCCTGGGGAGAGGGAAGAAGTGAGGTAAGAGCTCTCTTCCTGGTACAAGATCAATCATATTTCACCCAGGACATATCTCAAGCTTGGATCATCCTTTCCTTCCTGGATCAGGTATCACTGCAGTCGCTCATTGTAGTGCCGCCTCAACCTCTATTGTTATCCCTCTATGACTCTCTGCTTTCTTGTGATAGATTCTTGCTTTTCTGGTTCCTGCTTCTCCATTCTAGCTTCCTCCTCTAAGCCCCTTTCAAACCTAAGGTCAGAGGAAGAACCTCAAAAATTTACAACATTCTTGGTTTCTTTGTTTGTTTGTTTTTTAAGGGGAGGGGAGCAACACTCCAGCCAGCAGGGCAAGCACCTGGGTCCAATATCTCTCAAGTCACTTCCCCTGTGTATGTGGCCAAAAATGGGCTACCTATATCCACATTCCAACTCAGAAACTCACAGAGATTGTCACATCTAACACCTCACCATTAAGCTATGATTTTGAACTCTGAAACTCCTCTCTCTAATCATAATCTCCTGTCCATCCATTTCTCCTTCAGTCTTCTATCTTCACTTCAACTTTTACCCCCTTCCCATATTCCTGTTCTCCTTACCCATTATTCCTGCTCTGGTCTTACTTTATGTCGTTGTATTCTTATTGACATTCATTCCATGCAAAACATGAACCCTAGTGGCAATGCTACCTATTCTGTAGTGCCTCATAACTCTCACACAGGGCACATAGATACCTCTTCATCCTCTAGGTTTTCTCATTCACTCAATGACAGATTGTTCAATGGCAGATCTCAGGTTCTTAGAAAAGGACCACCATCACATTGTTCACTCAGACTGTCTCAGTGTCCTAGGATAACCCTATTGTAAAAGAATACACTACCCCTACTCAACACTAGCTCTCAAGCTAAACCACCAATGTGCTTCTGTTTACAAAATCAGTCTTGATGATACATTTAGATAATAAACCTAAGTATTTGCTTGGCAATAAGGCAAAAAAAATAATTACACCAGAGCTACTCATCTATTACATGTAGGAATCATAGTTATATTATAATTTACACATAAATCTGAGTCATACTTTCCTAGCAAGGCATAGTATCTATAGGGAAAAGGAGACACACACACACACACACACACACACACATACACACACACACACACACACACACTGGCAGGGAGAATGCGAGTGAAGAAAACCCATCTGCTCAGGGTAACTCACAACCCTGGACTCCAGACTTGGATGTCGTCTATCCATTCTGGAACATCTGTACCACATGAAGCTATGTCTGTGCTAGCTGCTTGTTTATTGGTCCTCACCATTCCAGCTGGGCAAATCCTCATTTCTTTTATTCTACAACCAACATTTACAAACTCTTTTAAGTTACACTGGTTATTAAAAGAATATCAGAATAGTGTTACATTCTTAATTGATCTAGCAGTTCCCTTTAAGCCAGAGAACCCCCAGGCTCCTCAGGCTGGCTCTCTGTGAATAGCTATTCACTCACCAGGATGCTGCATCATCTAATCAGGTTGTAGGAAATAAAGATCACCAAAAAAAGCTCAGGGAGACCTTCTGGACAAGGCAAACAAACCTTGCAAACTTATCAGGATTCTAGATCTCCTCATCTCTTCCTATTGGGCAATGCAACTGTAAAACCTCTTTCCCTTGGACAGATATTTCTAAGCAACATCACCTCTCTTAAACTCTAGGTGTCGCTAAAGGGCAAAAAATGGGACTAAAACCCTCTTCCAATAAGCTCCAGCCTTTATCCAATCAAGACCTGGAAGCCCAAGCCTTATTGTCAGCATCCCCTACTCAACATTAACTCTCAAGCAAAACTACGCTTCCCTTTACAGAACCAGTCGTGATAGGTACTTTTAGTTCTAAAACATAGCTATTTGCTTCTGCTTTATTTTTTTAAACAGTAAGAGTTTCTTTTTGCCGCTTTCACACCCATCCATCCCCACCCAGTCTTTAGTCTCCTGCCAGAGTCCTCCATTTTTCTCACCACATATTCCTTACGTCAGAGATCTCTGGTACTCAGTGACTCAATATTCACTTAGGAGGTAACAACTCATCAAGTCTCCTCCAAGACACAAAATTCAATAAACTGATTCTTACTAAGACAAATTTTAATGTTATCTACCCACAAGAGTATTTGCATTGGAGAGACCATGCCTAGAACTAAAGGAACAATGTAATTAAGTAATGATGTAATTTAAAGCAGTGCATTAGGCCAGTGGTTGAGAGTGTCTTTTGAGTGTCCCTCAAATCACAGTCCATAGAAAGTTCATGTTTCACAAATTTCAAAGTTGAACCTATTAATAATACTATAATTATTGTGATTTATGAATGTAATGATGATATAATATAATAGCTTTTTTTTCCCTTTGGCTCTGGGACTTTCAGTAGTAATTGTTCATTGTTCAATTTGTTTGTTTATATAATTCCAGCTGAATTTCTTAATTACAGGCATTATTCTTTCTCATAAAAAAAAATGTTTATCTCTTCCTTCTGAACCTGGCCAGCCCCCAGATCACAAAATGCAACTGATAGTGTTATTGGCAATGCCACTACTGTGTTCTAGTTACTCTTCGCCAAGCCTGAGTTTTGATCCTGCCTTATCTCTCTTCTCCCCACATAGGTGTGCTACAGGAGAGGCATGGCAAGATATCATGCTAGCCTGTCTGCCAGGAAAGAAGTGTGCCCCTGAGTCTGAGCCAAGTAACAGTACTGAAGCAGAAACGCTCTGTGGCAGCAGCTTTGCTGTCTTCTATTTTATCAGTTTCTACATGCTCTGTGCCTTCCTGGTAAGCCAATTCTGAAAGCCAACCTTCTCCGGACCCTCACCCCACCCCTGCCCCAATCTGGCCCAGGCTAAGGAAATGAACATTTTGCTCTAGAGTTCCCCAAGCCCTCAGGGTGGCTAGGCCTCAAAGGAGCCCTGGTCAGGGAGATCCCAGCCACAAAAGGACCTGGCTTAGGAAGACGAAGCTGGAACAAGGTTGTCCAAAGACAGTAAGAAATTCAGAGTTATGCCCATGGCCAGAAGCTCATGTAATCCACACGGTACACATTTTCCTTCTTGACTGTTGGTGGCACCACACAAATGAGCAAGAGTTACAAGTGGACAGATTTTGACTCAGTATAAAGGAGAATTTTCTGACAATTAGAAAAATAGATCTAAACTAAAAAGGTCCTTAGAAATTATTTAATCTGACCCCATCATTTTACAAATGAGGAAACTGAGGCCTAGAGAGGTGAAATGGCCTGCTCCAGATGATACAAGTAGTAAATGTCAGAGCTGGGATCTGAATTCGGGTCTCATGACTCTAAGTTTACTGGAAATAAGCTAACTCATTAGGTAGTAAGTTCTCCAACATGAAATATTTAAGCAGAGGCAGAAAGACTCCTTATAGAGGATTTTGAACTAGAAGCTTCAGACAGGGATTGAACTAGATGCTATCTATGATCTCTTCTAAGATTCTGGGACCCACAAAAACAGTGGAACATTTACCTGCTGACCTTTATGAAACTATGTTTTTGTACTTTGCTTACTTACTAGAGAGAATTCCCTGTAGCCTCTGGACACTGGCTAGTGGTTTGGCTTTATAGCCTGCTACATGGTTTCCTTGCAAGGCTAATATTTCCACCAACATTCAAATTGCAGGGGTCAAGGTTTTGAACAGTTGTTTCCTGATACCAGATAGTTTTTGGAAATCTTTACTCCTGCCACCAAGAAAGATCAACTGATAAACTCTGCTAAAAGGAAAAGAAGCACCATTGTCTCTTCAGGGGTCCAGACAGCAGGGCTACATGTCATGCTCTCCCATCCCTTACTTTGTAAAAGAGAACTATGGCCTTGGCATAACCATGGCAAGAGTGCACAGGTGGGGTCACTGACAACCCCTCCTTGTACCTTCTGCAGATCATCAACCTCTTTGTAGCTGTCATCATGGACAACTTTGACTACCTGACAAGAGACTGGTCCATCCTAGGTCCCCATCACTTGGATGAATTCAAAAGGATCTGGGCAGAATATGACCCTGAAGCCAAGTAAGTACATGGAAAGATAGTTTGTGACATATCTCTACTCGTATTTACAATAGCAGACAGGGCCATACTGAAGTTGTGGAGAGTATAGCACAAGTATTGGCTAGGGGTGAGAAAAATTACCTTGGGATTGGAGGCTTTCAACTCAGATTTCAGTGTCCACCTGAAGGGGAAGAAGGAAGAGGGAGAAGGAGGAGGAGTGGGAGGGGGTGATGAGATGAGAAGGGAGGGAGGGAGGATGGGATAGAGGGAGGGAGGAAGGGAAAGAAAGAAGGAAGAAAGAAAAAAGAGGGAGAGAGGGAAAGGAAGGAAGGAAGAAACAAAGAAAAGGAAAGAAAAAACAAGAAAAGAAACAAAGAAGTCATATTAAGAAAATCTCAAGACTATAATAATTAATAAAAGTTCACATTTACATATCACTTTATGACTTATAACCTACACAAAAAGTCCTCCCCTGATAACTCATCAATAAATTAAGGTGACCTGGGGCTCTTGAAAGCAATGCCAGTGGAGCATCACCTCTGGAAGGTCTTCCAAATTGGAAAGGCTTTGAGTACAGACCTAGGAAAAGCCTATGGGTTTCTTGTCTGAAGAACAGTGTTGTTCATGAACCTGAAATAGTTTTAGAAAGAAATTGATTAGGTTATTTGGTAGAGACAGAGAGTGGGAAAGGGGTGGCTTCCTCTTCCAAGTTCTGAAAGGTTTACATTATATCAGATCAGACAAAGTCACACGTGAATCATCTGACAAAGGTATCACACATGAGTCACACACAAATCACATGAAAGGAACCCAGAACACAAACTTGGGTGGATCAAAAACAAGTCCTCCATAAGGAGGTCCCAAACCAGAATGCTTTGGGTGGATCTAGGATCCAAAATTCATTATGGCTATCTCCAGCATTCCTAGAGAGCTGCTGAGGTCAGGCAACATTCTGGGTACAAGCAACCTCTAATCACATAAAGTTAGATTTAAACAGTATAATAATTTTTATGAACTATATAATAAAGCATTCTTTTCACACCAGCTTAGCAAAATTCAGAGAGGTTTATCTCTATCTTGGCCATAAGGGAACGAATTTTTTAGTCACAGTAACTCTCAAGGATCATCAACTAAGCCAGAGATTGTGATATGCAACAAAGAAGAGAGTTCCCACTGACAAAATTGCAGACCCTTGAAATAATGAAGTATGATTCAGAAAGCACTTTCCTCACAACCCTGTAGTGCCTAAGTCATCTGAGTATCATTATTCCAATTTTGTTGATGGGGATCAACCGAGGCAGACAGAGAGGTTAAATGACATGCCCATGGTCATATAGCTATTAAGTATCAGAGGCAAAACTTGACCCCAGGACTTTAGACTCCACCTCCAGTGTGCTTTACGTTACGTCATCCACCAGTCTGAAAATACTTCAGTCATGGACAATAAATCACACATACTAGGCATTCAGTAAATACTTGTATATCACTTGCTTGAATCAATAAGAATTTGAGTTATACACTATAAAAACCCCTTCACTTTAAAACATTAAATGATGATCAAATTGCATTTGAGTCTTTAGCATGCAACCATTGACAGTAGAGTATCACATGCTATTCTTTGATTTTGGGAAAAAAAAAAAACCTTGGCCAGCTGAGAAGCAACTCTATAGCACTTTCCCCTGGAGGCCTAGGCCACCGTGTGATGAAGCTTCTGAAAGGTTGCGGGTTGAGGGAGGAGTGAGTGTAGGTGGGGACTGTGCCCTCCTGACCGTTCCCTTCTCTTCATCTTCCAGGGGCCGTATCAAACACCTGGATGTGGTGACCTTACTCCGGAGGATCCAACCCCCACTAGGGTTTGGAAAGCTGTGCCCTCATCGAGTAGCATGCAAAGTAAGCATGACTGTGGTAAGGATAGGGAGGAGAATTTCCACATCTGTAGGTGTATAAAGGAAGATAAAATTGGAGAATGTGAGAAGAGAGAAAAGGTGGGAGACAAGATGTTTACTAGCTGTGCAGCCTTTGGCGAGTCGTTTAATCTTACAGGGTCTTAATTATGTGATTCAGTATATGCCAAAACAGGGGGATTGGCCCAAATGATCCACTGGTGTCCCTTCCAACTCTTAAGATCTATAATGGGAAAATAGAAAGATAGAATGAGGATAACACCTCACATTGCACTCATTTTACCAGATGGCCAACTTGAGACCAAAGAGAGTGAGATACCCTGATGAGAGTCCCAAAGACTTCATTTGAGAGTCCAGATGTGCTTCCTGGAAGAGGGTGCCTTAGCTCTTTTTGATGGCTTCTGGGAATATATGGTCTGTTAGTAACAGCATCTCCTAATTTGGTTCTTTCTTCTGCCTCCTAACTGAGGATGTTAACCGTCCAATCATAGTCACATAATCCTCAAGCTAAAAGAAGCAGGCAAAGGTCATTTAGTCCATCTTCATGCCTTCATGAAAGCTTAAACTGTTTCATTCCATCTCTATGAATATCACTTCTGTTCTTTAAACCTGCATAGACTTAAGAACAGAATTGAGGTTCTTCTCAGGTTTTTGGTTTCCATTCCCTACATCCCTTGCTTAGATGGGGGCCATAAACAGTACAGTCCATAGAGAAGCTAGAAAGACTCATTTGAGTTTCCTTTCCTCTCCCTTTCCCTATTCCTACTCTAAATAAGGTGCTCATTAGCTAGAATTTCTCATTAGCTGAGTAATGGCCAATGGGAAGAGCACTATGGGAGGATAGAGGAGACATAATATAATATAGAGACTATACACTCTTGAATAATGCTGAGTTGAGTGGACACAAAAGACTATATCTGTGTACTAATTTAATTCCATTTGATCCTACAAAATTTATTAAGTACATACTGTTATGCCAGATGCTATGGTGTGTCCTGGAGATACAAAGATGGAAAAGGACATACCCTCTTCTTTCAAGGAGCTTATAGGAGTTTAAATAAACCCACCAAGCTCCATAATGCTCCAGAACTGTGGGGCCCTATACTTGTCCTGTCAAAAAGGCTCGGTGAGTCTTTTGAGAACTATTTATTTCCAACAGTTCAATAGATGGGCAATATCAGGTATGGTGGATCTGACAACAGGGAAAGAACCTCAAAAACAGCTCTTGAAGGGCAGGGGGAAGAAAATAAGAACAAAGGCTTTAGTCTTTCCCTTTCCCTACAGCGTCTGGTGTCCATGAACATGCCTCTGAACAGTGATGGGACTGTTATGTTCAATGCTACATTGTTTGCCCTGGTCAGGACAGCCTTGAGGATCAAAACAGAAGGTAAGGCAGTCTTGTCACACTTCACTCCCTTCTCCCAGAGTGCCCCTATCCCATAGGAAATGGGGGAGAAACAAAGAAATAGCCTGATTCCTTAGGTATAATCCATAGGTATAAATCACTAAATATCAAAGAAATTGTACTGCGTCTGTTGTGCATTTTTATCCAAGTTACCTCTAAATCATATAATCATAGTTTCATAGGGTTTTCTTACCCTGGACAGATGCATTTGTAAAATGTAGCTTGAATACCTTGCTTATTCTAGAGTATAAAGGAATATATCTCTTCCCTCACCCATTGCACTCAAGTTAGTTGAGTGCATCCTAAAAGATTTAGCCCATCTCCTTATTAAGCAACAATTGTATCCTAGGGACAGGATGAATCCAGCATCCAGATTTATAGATTTATACTTTTCTGATGGTTGGAAGACTCATGCCACCCCCATCCCCACCACACAGACACCATAGCCCTGTTACTTTCAGGCTCTGGACCAGAAGTGTTTCTGCTACACTACAGGAGAGGGCCTGGGAGATGGTGTATGGCTCAAAGCAGTCCCAAAACAGGTATAAGTGGAAGTGTATTGACCTCATCCCACAAGCACATGCACTAGCTAATTATCTCAGAAAACAAAAGGCCCTTCTGTAGCAAGGAATAGTCAGGGAAGTCAAAGTAAGTAAATGACTTGGGAGGAACTGTAATATGTTATGTCATTGTCAGCAATAAGCATTTGATGATCACTTGCTATGTGTCAGATACCAAAGTGTGTTTAAGAAAATAAGAGATCTAGTTCCTTCAAGTGTCTGTAGTCTGACTAGTTACAGCACAGTTTATCCAACCACTAATGACAGAGCAACTGTATGGTCTGGAGAAAAAGGAATAGACTGGGAGCCAGGAGACCTGAGTTCTAGTTCTGTCCTGGCACTAACTGGCTCTGTGACCATGGGCAATTTCTTAGCCTCTCTGAGCCTCAGTTTCCTTATCTTTAAAATGAAGTGGTTGGACAGATGACCTCTAAGATCCTTTCCTGCTTCTTAGCATCACATGATGCATGTCAATAAAGCTTCCCCTGATTTTTAAAGAGCTGGAAAGGAACTTAGATGATATTGAGACCCACTCCCTCTAAGCATTGGTGCCTAATTAATATATATCAGGATTAAGTGGTTGAAGAGGGGCTGGATGAAGATAGCAGAAAGCTACTAGATGAGTCAGAGATGTCAATGAAAGTCAGAAAGAGTAAACCAAAAGCTGAAACAGACAGAAACAGAAAGCAGGCCCAAAACAAGGACACTCTAGAAGTATGGTGTGTAGGAAGACCAAACCAGGCAGAACAGATGAATAGTGCTTTGAGGTCACAGTTCCAAATTGCTTTCCAGAATGGTTGGTCTAATTCACATCTCCATCAACTCTGCATTAGTATACCTATTTTCCTATACCTGCTCCAGTATTTGTCATTTTCCTTTTTTGTCATCTGATGGGTGTAAATTAGTGCCTCAGATTTATTTTAATTTTCATTTCTCTAATTATTAGTAATTTAGAGCATTTTTATATGGCTATTGATATCTTTGACTTTTTTCCCTCTGAAAACTTATATCCTTCATATCCTTTGTCAATTAAAGAATGACTCTTATTCTTATAAATTTGACTTGGCACCAAGAAACCAGTGCCAAAACCTCAGAGAAGCTGCAAGAGTCTCTGTTGAGCTGATGTATCCATCAAATGTTCAGATTTAGGTTTTAATGAAAGAACATCTACCTGATCGGAATGAGGGAGAGTTGATAGCAAGGTTAAACATATTGAAATCTCCTGTCCAGTGGGTCAGGTACTTATTGAGTCGCTAGGTAGTCTAAAGGGGCTCTAAGTTTGTATAGTTATAGTGGCCAATGATCAGATATCCTGCCCTTTTGCACTGGTCAATCCATGCTTCAGATGTGACTTTGCAAGTAGTTCCTTTTCCCAGGCTAACATTAGCCAGCTTTCAAAAGAAGTGTCCACAGGGCTGGGGCATAGAGAAGGGCAGTGTGGTCCATGAGAAGATAGCAATGTTGGTTGCATCAACCACTATGATGAACTAGTTGCATCAAGACAGGAACAGAGATGAACCAAGGTTTTGGGTTGTGGGTTTGGGGGGGCGGGGTTGGTAATTAAATGTGCCTTTCTACCCTGGGCATCTGACGGAAAGCTAGATGAGGGAGGAAAGCACAGACCCCTGGTTAACAGTGTTAAACCATGCTAATACAAGAAACTGCTGCAGATAAAGGTCTCCCACCACAGTACATGCACCTTATGTGGATCCATATGGTGTCCTTGCCTATCTGTTTTGTGCTGTGGAGCTTTAGTGTCTCAAATTGATACTGTCCTGGAGGACAGTTTGGACCAGTTGGATCCCAAGAATAGAATAAGATATAATAGAAAACCCCAACTTTTAGTACAGAAGATCTTGAAGCAACAAATTCATGAAACTCTGAGGAACCACATTGACCATTAATAATCTTAATCTATGTGATATAAAGATGATATAGACCATACTAGTTTGAGAAAAAACATCTTCCCTTCTTCACCACTTCACATCTGAACCAGATTGTATGTACCCTAAGACTCCAATTTAGTGACTACAGCCATCTCTGACAACTGGCAGTAAATCAAGAGTAGGAAAGGGAGGTGCTGATCCCCAAAGGTGATGGTATTCAAGGCTCTGTAATCATGGCAGATCCTTAGCTCCTCACTTCTCTGTTAAAATATTGTTCTGGGACTCTGGTGGAAAAGTTAAGGAGCCTTATGAATCTCTTCTCCCAGATGTGTTCCAAGAACCATTACAGACCCATTGTCTCTGACCTGGCCATAGAATCAGATTTCAAAGATGGAGTAAAACTCAGAGACCATCTAGTGCAACCCACGTGTGAAAAAAGAATTTCTTTTATATACTGTTCAACAAGTGGTCCACCAGTCTTTGGCTGAAGACTTCTTTCCAAGGCAGCCCATTCCAATCTGAATAGCTCTCATTGCTAAGAAATTTTTCCTTATACCAAACCTAAATTTGCCTCTTTATAGCTTCCACTCATTTGCTCCTAGTTCTGCCCCCTGAGGCCAAAGAGAACAGATCTAATAAGCTAATCTGTCCCCCTGAGTTTCTTTCCTTCAGGATAACCATCTCTAGATCTTTCCTGATATTCTCATATGGCATGAACTCAGACTCCCTCACCATCATAACCACTCTCCCCTTGAAGTCTTCCAGCTTACTTATATCCACCCTAAATATGGTGCCCAGACTTAGTACTCTGTATATAGTCTGATTCTGGCCCAATGGGACTATCACCTCCTTCTTCCTGGGAGTTATGGCTTTCTTCATGCAAACCAAGATCACATCAATTTTTTTTTGCTATTCTATGACATTGACATTGAGTTTGCACTAATTTCCTAGATCTTTTTCAGAAAAACTGCTGTCTAAACTTGCCTCCCCACAATACTATGTCTTGTATTTGTGAAGTCAATTTTTTGAACCTAAGCATAAGACTTTACATTTATCCTTTTTGAATTTCATTTTATTAGATTAATCCAAATTCTCTATATTGTCAGGATCTTTTTGGATCCTGACTTAATCATCCAATGTGTTACCAATCCCTTCCAGCTATGAAATCAATAAACATGCCATCTGTGTCTTTATCCAGAGAGTCAGTCAAAAAGGATTTATTAGGAGCTTACTACATGTCAGATGCTAATGGGGTTACAAAGAATGACCAAACCAAAATAAACAAACAAACAAACAAAAAACAGTCCCTGCTTTCAAGAAGCATTCATTCTTTTTTTATTAACTAATTAATTTATTTTTAGTTTTCAACATTCACTTCCATAAGATTTTGAGTTCTAAATTTTCCCCCTTTCTCCCCTCTCCCCTCCCCAAGATGGCATGCAATCTGATATAGGCTCTATACATACCTACATATTAAGCATATTTTCACATTAGTCATGTTGTAAAGAAGAATTAGAACCAATGGGAGGAACCACAAGAAAGAAGAAACAAAACAAAAGAGAGAGCAAATAGTATGAAGAAGCATACATTCTAATGGGGGAAACAACACGTAAATAGGCAAATGCAAAATGCATACGAAGTTGAATGAAAGCAATCTAAAAGGAAAAGTAATCCTGACAGCCCGGAGATACCAGGAAAAGCCTACAGTGGAAGATGAATTTTGAGCTGAGACTTGAAGGAGGCCAGGAAAACTGTGAGAAAACATACCATTCCAGGCGTGGGGCACAACCAGTACAAAAACATGGAGAATGGGAGGAGTGTCATGTTCAAGGAACTGCAAGTAGCTGGATTGTACAGTGTGTGCAGGTTAATGAAGACTGGAAAGATAGAAAAGGAGTGAATTATAAAGAACTCTAAATGGCAACTAAAGGAGTTTATATTTGGTCTTGGAAGTAATATGGAACCACTGAAGCTCATTGAGTGACAGGGTCAAATCTACACTTTAGAAAAATCACTTTGGCAACTAAGGGGAGTGAGGAGAGTGAGGGAGGAGTGACTTGAGTCAGAGAAACCAGTTAGAAGGCCATTGCAATGGTCCAAGTGAGAGGAGATAAAGACCTAAACTAGGGTTATGATTTGAAGGCAGAGAGGACAAGATTTGGCAATAAGGTGTATATGTGAAGTGAATGAGAGTGAGGAGTCAAGTTTGACACCAAGATTAGGAACCTAAGTAACTGGGAGAATGGTGATGTCCTTGGTAATAATGCAGAAGTTGGGGAAAAGGGAGGGTCTGGAAGGGAAGACAAATTTTTTTTTTATTATGTTGAGTTTGAGATGTCTACAGGATGTACAGTTTGAGCTGTCCAAAGGGCATTGGAGATGTCAGATTGTGGCTTAGGAAAGAGACTAAGAAAGCGTATATAGGTCTGGAAATCATCTGCATAGAAGTTGACAATAGAAGCTATGGGAGTTGATGAGATAACCCAATGAAATAGTATAGACTGGAAAAGAGAAGTGTCTACCATTATTGGGAATG